ATAGCAATAGTATTTTAAAAATTCATAAATTTTTCAAAAATATCTTCAGTCATTTCTATATTTTTCATTTCATCATCATCATCATAAGGTCGTCAGTCCCTCCACTCTTTTCTATCCTGAGCTAATCTTCGCATTTCACTAAAACTAGAACAACCCATTTCCTTAATTATCAGAGCATTTATAAAACATTTTTAACTTTCTAACCGGATTATTATTGAAAACATCTGTCCTCGAGAGTTCAATTAAAAATGTGGTCGTACGCGTAAACTACTTTAATCATCGATTTTCCTTTGTTTTTGTTCTTGGAATTAAGTCGAGATTCAAAACGAAAGGACATGTAAGTTTAATCAAGATGAGACTTTTAAATCAACGTTGTGAACTATTTTAATTATGTGAGACAAGTGTTGGGCATGTTGTAGGAGGTTAATGACACTTTACAAGAACAGTACAAACATAAACTACAATTCGTTATTAGTTAAGAAAGTTGGAGCTGGCGTAATCTGAGAATGAGAATTTATTTCTCGAACATATTCAGCTTTGAATTGGTTGTAAAGAGGTTGCTTATCTGCACATGGGCACTGTTTAAATGGTTTAATTCTCGGAGCTTTTAGCGATAATGGCTAGCAGTCCCGCGCCTTAATTACTCACATGACATTGGTTTGAAGTGTCTCGCTTATCAGTAATTAATTAAGTAGCGAAGTGAATCCAATTAAGTCGGTCGGCAGTCGCGCCGCGTTGCCACACACCGCCATGCAACGAAAAGTGAAATGATTTATTTCTTGTATACCTTTCACGACGGGCATAATGAGACGCCACCTTGTTCTCGGCTTGTAACTAACACACAAGTCGTTAAGAGGGTTAAATGATTTATTCATCACAAAAAGTACGCAAAATAGAATGAATGGGCTAATTCAAAACACGACTTTCGAGGGAATTTAAAGAGGCCACGCGGCACCGACATCCAGTTCAGTTGCCTCAGCTGAATGAAAATAAAAACAAAATTACGCACTCATTATTTTCAATATAATTAATATATATACAATCAACAGAATAAACTTTCATAGGTACAAAATGGTTTGCGAAAATATTCAAGTAAATAATTATTCATTTCGGTAAAGGTAAAGATGATGGCCCTCACCCCCTTCGGGGGTGGCGATGGGGGGGTTCGAAAGAGGAGGTTTCCCCGATCACTGTACCATAAAAGGTTTGTGGCGGTTTCACCCCCATAAAAAGTTATGGGGGTTCAAAGTTAATAAATATGCCAATTTTTATACATTTCTAGGCATGTAAATATTTATATAGTCATTCTTAAACAATATTCAAAGGTAAAACTAATGAAAAATACATAAAAATATTGAGAAAGTTATATAAAACATTATTTAAATATCTTTATCAATAGGGTAGGTTAGGTTAGGTTAGGTTATCGGGTTTTGTTCAAGTGACCACCCTCTTTCGATCCTCCACCTCCACCCGCTTGAAAATGTTTTTTTTATTGAATTTTATTTGAATTATAGTGTATGAAAATTGACAAAAAAGATAATCAACTTTCAACCCCCATAACTTATTATGGGGGTGAGAGCGCCGCAAATTTTTTATAGTGTTTTACTCAGGTGACCACCCTCTTTCGATCATCCCTACCCCCACCCCCATCTAACCCCCATAACATTTATGAGGGTGAGACCGCCACGAATTTTTTATGGTAAAGTGGTGGGAGAGACCTCCTCTTTCGATCCCTGCCACCTCCAACCCCCTTCATTTCTTTTGTAATGAGAAATGGAAGTGTTTTCCATTAGCCATTATACATTTGTAATGTGCAATACAAGTATTTTTCATTAAATTACTAATCATTTCGTTTTAAGTATTAAAAATACTACTTGGGTCGTATATGAGACCTATCTTATGCAAAATAAAATCGTAGAGCGACAGGTATGAAGGTCGATTGGGGTCGAAATCTTGTCTCAAACTCGTTACCGCTACCAAGTATAAGAAAAAGTTTGCCCGAATATAATCTTCAACTGTCTGAAATTATTTATTTCGCTCCGGTAGTTTCACATCATCATAAATGTATTACATAATTTTTTTTGAGAGCAAGCGCGATAATTGAATGGATTTATAATAAGTAATACAGCGACATTTTAATTGTGTCTGAGGGATGTTTGGCTCATATAATTGGTCTGGCTGCTTACAAAATGTATTGAAATTGTTTCCTAAGTGTCATATTTAAAAATGAAGACTCAGACTATAAGTAAAATTGCGATCCTTTTTGTGGGCTTATGACATGAAATGTCTGACTGAAATTACCGCCTATGGGAAGTGTCTGACTTTAAGAAAAGCGAGTAATGTTTTTATGTACCTTTAGCATCTGATTTTGATACTAAGAAAATAAGTAACGTCTGGCGGCTCTGGAATCATGCTCTATAATGGAAAATGATGTAACGCATTACAAAAATTAATGTATCAGTCCCTGTATACAGTCATCAAACACCAATGAACAAATAAAGATTGAATCTTTAATTAATTAATCTGTTTACCAAAAATTTTTAGAAAACAAAATCCAAGTCGTATTTTCAGAGGGTTGCAGTCATTTGTGGATAAATTAATTTTGTTTTTTGCTTAATTATTTCACAAATTATTGATATTTTTTCAAGTTACTGTCAGTTTTGAAAACGTCATTAAAAATTTATAGTTGGTCGTATCAGTTAGGTACCCATGATCAGTATTTGTTACATAAACCTATAAACTGTTGCTGGTGTGCATTTTACGTCAACAAGGGTGACATTTTTAGAGCGGCACCCATTTTTCTACGACGCCGTTCTTTTCTTACTGTGGATGAACTCATATTCTACTGGAACGCATTACCATGAAAACGGTCTCTGCTGATAAATTTTCCGACTAAATTGCTACTTTCAGCTGTCTACTGCTCTGTTTTTCACCGTTCGCGGCATGTATCATTTGACTCGAGGAGTGTTTATAAAAGAATCGAAAAGATGAAGAACGACAGATAGGAAGCTGCACCAAACAGTAATTCTCAATTGACAAGATGTATCTCTCAGGATACGTCAACATTACAAAAATTAATTTCCTACCGTTCAGTGGCGGCGCATAGCTAAAGTAGTGCTGCTTGAGAAAATTTTTAGTCTCTGTTTTAAGAATATGAGTACCCGAACACTCATAAAGACCATTAACATTGTGATAGGAGTTTTTAATTGCAGGTAAATTCTAACTCAAGATCTTGACAGTTGTGACTTTTCACCAGGATGATTCAAAGACCATTTTCCCAAAGTTTCATTGCAATCGACATTAACCCATTTCCTTACAAAAATCTGCGGATACTTCCTAACGTAGACCTTTAAGGATTTTTCGTAGTGTTGCAGGGGTTATAGTTACGGTTCCCAAGATAAAAATGTTCAGTCTATCAGTCTTTGAAAGCGAGACTCGATTCTCCGCCTCTCATCAAGTCTCCCTGGTGTCGCTGAGAGAGACTGTCAAAAAAACTGTTTAGCGTCTTTGAACGAGAGACACGAGTCGCTCATAGAGAGATCCTCATTTCGTATCCAGTTTCTGAACGAGACACTCGAATCTCTGAACGAGAGACTCGAATCTCTCAATAAGTGGTGCCTCGATAGACATGGTTAAAATTTTCTAAGTGCAACATATTTCAGAAATTCTAGTCTTTCTACGAGAGACTCGAGTCTCTCAAGTTTTCAGTTTTATTCATTCAGTTTCTCTGTGAAAGACTCGAATCTCTGAATTAACAATTTTATCGTTCGAGTCTCTCGTACAGAGAGTGTGAGAGATCCATAAAAACACCTAGACAATATAAAAAAGATATAGATAATTGATGATAGTTATTGTGATCCCAGTCATAATTATTTTACAGTAAAGGTACTCGGACATACGAAAAAACGAAAAAAAAAAAGAACGAAATGTTACAAGTCCATCAATCCATCTCCTTTACTTTTCGTCGTGTACGTCAGTGTCATTAGTAGAGCAATAAATCAAGCTATTATAAGGTCAAGAAGCGATTGCCGGTGAACTTATTACTCATCTGTCCGTGCAGCGCTGTTTTCAATCCATTCAACTGCTTCGTTCGCTTAATAAATAAGTCGCTATCAATATCAGATAGAAACGAACAGCCCGGAGATATTTATTGATTGTGAGCTATTGATTGCACTATCAGAACTCAGAATGATGAAAGGAATATCTGAATTTTTTTAAAATATTTATTAACATATGCTGTATTTTATACGACCATTAAGAAAGGTAAAACGTTAGAAACAATTTTACAAAAGGTTTCGCGATTATTGTTGTCCTGTCTATTCTTCTGTTTGAAATATGATAGAGATTTAAAAGAACGGGACTGCTTCTGAAAGATATCACATTGTCCAATTTTCAAGTACCTTCCCGACGCCATTATTCGGTAGCCGGCGTCATTATCCTAATAAAAATGTTCTGGATCCGCCGGGTACCGGATCCAAATCGGGTTCCTGGCTCAACTCTAGTCGGGAGCAAATTAAAAAGTGTCTCGAGACGTCGCATAGCGTCACTTACATTGGCGAATCCTGCCCGTTTCCATTGTTTCAAATACTATCCTTTATGCGTCATTGCCGCGTCTTTTTATTACGTTCCAGCACCGCTTTTATTGCTGTAGCGACGCTGTGTTTCTCTCATTTAGCCCTTTACTCTTAATATGTGACGCGAACTTTTTACATCACGCCGAATTGTCATGTAATACGACGGAGATTTCGCGTCGGAAACTTCCTGCCAGTTAACACTTAACAACTCTTTCAGGCAGCCATTCAAGTTGCGAATGAAGAAATTCACGTGTTCGGATCACGGCGACCCCGTCGACGTCGCATTCGCGATTATTACGGAATAAATGAGCACATAATTAAGTTGGAAAAATATCGTTTTAAAGGGAATACGGCTACACGGTTCTATTTTTGAACGCAAAAGGCGATAAATGGCATTCAAAGAAAGAAATTGCAAGAATAACTTACCGCCCACGTTTCTCTTTTTGATACAGTCGTTGGTCGTTGTCAGATTCGCTTTCTTCATCACAAAATCCACTTGGCTGAAATAGAAAAAGAAAATAATTACTTATTCAGTTGGTGTTGCAGTAAAATTCGGTCATAATACATACGAGGGTGGATTGATAAGTTTCCGGCCTAACCAAGAGATGACGCCACTAGGCCTACCTTGAGGTGACATTCTATAGTACCATCCTTGGATAGCTTGTAGCTATAGTTTCAGCCCGATCTCCTTGCTAGTGTAGGTTTGACAGCACGCTGAACAAGACGCCTCTGTGGTTTTCGTAAAAATGGAAAAGCAGGAAAATCGTGCTGTCATCAAATACTTTTATTTGAAGGGGTTAACGCCGAAGGAAATTAAAAAAGAGATGGACTCAACACTGGGGACATCCTCCCCGTCATATTCAACCGTTAAGCAGTGGGTTTCCGAGTTTAAAAAGGGTCGTGTGAGCACCTCTGATGGGCCTCGCTCAGGACGCCCCGTTGAGGTCACAACTCCAGATATGATCGAAAAAATTCATCAAATAGTGCTGGGAGACCGCAGATTGAAAGTGCGTGAGATAGCTGAGACCTGTAAGATGTCATATGAACGTGTGCAACATATTTTGCACCAACATTTGCATATGGAAAAGCTCTGTGCAAGATGGGTGCCGCGTTTGCTAACAGTCGACCAAAAATTGATTCGAAAAAACATTTCTACCGCAAATTTGTCATTGTATAAGCGTAATCCAAGCGAATTTTTGCGTCGATTCGTAACCGTTGACGAAACGTGGGTCCACCACTACACTCCTGAAACCAAAGAACAGTCTAAACAGTGGATTGGACCAGGGGAACCAACTCCAAAGAAGGCAAAAACAATTTTTTCGGCGAACAAGGTTATGGCTACTGTTTTTTGGGATGCAAGAGGTATTATATACATTGATTACCTTGCAAAGGGTAATACTATCACTGGTCAATACTACGCAGACTTATTGCAACGTTTGAGCCACGAGGTGAAAATTAAACGACCTCATCTGGCGAAGAAAAAAATCTTGTTTCATCACGATAACGCACCAGCGCACACGTCAATCGTTGCGACGGCTAAAATCAACGATCTAAAGTTTGAATTGATGCCGCACCCTCCTTACTCTCCAGACCTAGCCCCGAGTGACTATTTTCTGTTCCCTAATCTCAAAAAATGGCTTGGCGGTAAGAGATTTGCGGACAATGAAGAAGTAATCGAAGCTGTAAATGGTTATTTTGAGGAGCTTGACGAATCAGTCTATAGAGATGGCATTAATAGACTGGAACACCGCTATGAGAAATGTATCAGCCTTGGAGGAGATTATGTTGAGAAATAAAAAAAAAAAATTTTTAAAAACCTTGTTTTTCTTGGTCAGGCCGGAAACTTATCAATCCACCCTCGTACTATTACTAGTCGTTTAATACATCGTTACTCTGCTGCATATTTTAGTTAAAGTAGTTTAGTTTTATAAAATCAATAATTGTATGTCAGTCAAATGATAATTAACATATTTAATGACGGCTAACTTTGAGCCAATTTTTGTTGTAATCTGATAATAATAATATACTACGTTTAAAACAAAAATAGAACAAAATAATTCGAAATGGTCTGTATTCTGTCGAAACTGCCAGATGTGGATCGCGATTTCGATCTTTTTGGATCTCATCAGCGCGTCGCAGGCAGCTCCGACAGAACACAGACCAACTTTGTTGGAGCATACGTAATCCTAAAATGTAGCATCGTGCTACAGATGGCGTTTACTGCGCCATTTGTACTAGTTTCTAAAACGCACTGTTAAGACAGCAGGTAAAAGTTGGTCTGTGTTCTGTCGGAGCTGCCTGCGTCGCGCTGATGAGATCCAGAAAGATCGAAATCGTGATCCGCGTCTGGCAGTTTCGACAGAATACAGACCACTTCGAATTATTTTATTCGATTAAGCTAACGTGCCTATCACGTCGAGGTTGGCTACGCCGGGATTCGTTTTCAGCAAGTAGATATCCACAAAAGTGGACCATGATAAAGCATACGTAATCCTAAAATGTAGCATCGTGCTACAGATGGCGTTTACTGCGCCATTTGTAGTATTTTCTAGAAATAGAACACTTTTCAAAAATTTCATTTAGATATAGATTCATTATTAAAGTCGAAATAATTTAACTAATTACATTTCGTCCTGTATTTGCATTATATTTATTCCTTATAATAAAAGGATAAGTTGCGTAATCCTGATATTACCAAATTATTTTTAAATGTGAGAATAAAAATTCTTGGAGTATACGTTTTGTATAGTTTGCATAGGTATGTGTGTTTTCAAACCTAATAAATTATTAGGTGCACTGCTTACTAGATAGTATTACCGGACAACTAGATAAACAGGGATTACGAGTTTTAATGGCACAAAGTAAAGCTCTTGCAGTTCGCACCACGTTGCACTAATAGTCAAGGAATTAAGCGGCACTGGATCCTGTATGGTCCTCGTGCGAGTAGAACTTCAAGCAATTACCGTTAATTGCAGATTGTTAAATGATACAACGACAATCGGTTGTTAAATACAAGAAGTTCGGGCCAACAATGTAAATTTTATAAACAGTTACACGAGCTATATTCTATTTTAGTTACAGTAAAAAAGTAAATCCAAGCAGTGATGATTGATACATTGGAATAATTAAGATGAAACTTGGTGTACGGATCTATATGAGATTTGTGGTAAATTATTAGTGGACTATTAGAAAAAGTAGGGAAAAAGACGAAAAACTAGAAGAAGTGACCGCTTTTAGATATCTAGGAAGTCAGATAAGTCAGGACGAAAGGAGTAGTAGGAATATAAAGCAGAGGATAGCGCAAGGTCGAGTCGCCTTCAATAAAAAGAAGTCACTTCTATGCTCGCGAACGGTTAATTTAGAAATTCGGAAAAGGTTGTTAAATATGTATGTCTGGAGCGCAGCGCTGTACGGGTGCGAAACATGGAGTAAGAGAACAGAGGACTCTATAGAAGTCCATGAAAAATAGGCAAGATAGGTTGGTAGGACACCTTCTCAGGCATAAAGGTCTAGTCAGAGACATATTAGAGGCAGAAACAAAAGTTAGAAGGGGTAGAAGTACACCTAGAATAGATTATTGTTCGCAAATAATTAAGGAAATGGGTTGTTCTAGTTTTAGGGAAATGCGAAGATTAGCTAAGGATAGGAAAGAGTGGAGGTGCATGTCTAGCCAATCTTAGGACTGATGACTTTATGATGATGATTATTAGACACTTTTTTCATAGAGTAGAAAGTTTACTTGCCTTACTAAAATGACGTTATAGAAAAGTCTCTTACAACACGTCAAAAATTGTCCCTTCGAATTAATTATTAGTAATTTCAATGATTATTACAACGACCATCGTAACAACAAATAATCGATGAAGGTTGTGTTAAGGAACCTTATTTGTGATATGCCGACGCAGGGACTTTATGGCATAAACATTTTCATATTTTATTATACCTTTAGTGTAAATTTTATTGTTATTCGACTTGGAAATATTTCCGAAATCTACGGTCACGTAGGCAAATTCACAGAAGCACAAATGAGGGTTTATCCCATGGTTAATATATTGTGCATTGGTATTACTGTCAATAACCTCGTTATTGGGAGGGATAATTTGTCGATTTCGGATTCTAGTGTACAAAATTTTAAGTTTGATAGAACAGTTCTTTTGTAGACTCGCTGAGAGTAACTAGACTTTGGTTATTTTCATAATACATTAATAAAAATCAATATTTATAATAAATTAGAATAAGTCGTAGTTGTAAGTTGTACAATAAATTCGTTATATTTACAACTCGGCGTTTCTATGGTACTTCGAGTTATATATGTGGTACAATTGTACAAAAAGTTCGAATCAATAATTTGAATATTTCGAACGTAAAAAACAGGTTGCCTAAAAATTCGGAAAAAGTAGCTATTTTGAGTGTCCTACATCAATTTAGTAATTAACTATAGAACCCTACCGCGTGTGCTTCCGTTATAATGCTGATTAATTCAAGAATAATTTACACATCAAGTCGATAAAAAAATACAATGCGTGCAGATTGGCAAAAGGAATTTATTTCCGATAAAAGTGGTTATATAAAGGAATAGAGATATATACCGCTACTTATCCTTATTGGAAACACCGAATTGATCCGGGTTTTCTTTGTAAACAACATCACCGGTTTAAACTGTTCCGCAGGAAGGAAGGAAGTCCTTTATAGAGCCCAAGGCGCTTCCGATGGATCGAGCCCGATCGCAAGATTGGCTGTTGCCACCAGTGCAAATTTCAATTTCGCAAGCTTGTGTAAATCTCATATATATCGCTGCGTCTTGCAGTAATACGGAGCATCGCAGTATCCATTCCTACGTTGCCGCCGACCTACCGAATAATCCGTGCAAATTTAGAAATTGAATCGGTTATCTGGACTCCTCAATCAATGTGTCTTACACCGATTCGAAGTCCATATAATCGGGCGTAGTGCCAAAACAATGAGCCAGTCTAATGGTACCTATTCTCGCTCCCCTAAAATTTATGCTTTCGAACGGAGGTCGCCACGGGTCATCCGGACCACGGTTCACCACATCTAAAGGCTCATTAGTCTCTCATCCCCAACGGATCGCTGAAGAACGATAGGAGCAGAGTAAGCCCATCCATATTTACCTCGCCCAGCGGATACGAATGTTAATAAATGTGGTGTTTATGACAAAAAACAGTGGTACGAGGGAAGTCTCCAATGTTCTGGGAATTTTGTTAATTTTTGTCAATATTACAATGCACTTTTTCAACATAATCTCCATTTAACTGAATACATTTATCCCAACGATAAACTAATTTTTTTAAGCCGTCCTCAAAGAACTTTTTCGGTGTCTCCTAAACCCACCTATTTATGGCACGTTTTACGTCAGTTAAACTTTCAAATCGAAAACTCCGTAAGGCTTTTTCATTTCTACCCTTCTCTATCCACGGTATCCTCATCATTCGCCTATAACCCCACATGTCGAACGCTTCTAACCTTTTATTTTCCGCCG